GCTCATGCATTATTGAGGTCTGTCCCGCTGCTCCGACCCTTAACTGTAATTAGTTTTGCCCAACACTTCTTATCATGATACACTTTGTGAGCCGCAGGAAGGGGTCAGAGGAACGTGAATACATTGTCCCTTTAAAGACGGGAAAGTGGAGGAGAGCAGGGTGGAAAGAACCAATGAGAGAGCTTCTTTTTTTTTGCAGAAACTGTTAGTTGCACCTTGGCGAAGAGAGTTGTGCTTTGTGGGATACTGGGAGTGGGGGAGTGCGAGGAAGGGAGGCTCTTGAAAGAGTCTGTGGACGAATGAGAAAGAGAGGAGGGGGAGAGAGAGAGAGAGAGAGAGAGAGAGAGAGAGATAAAGAACATCCATGCGCGAAGACAAAAAAAAGAAAAGAAATCCACATTGACAGGCTACTCACTGCCTTGACAATGAGTGTTTATCCCACTTTTCTGAGAGCCAATTATCTCCTCCCGCATGAGTCATGGAGATCATTTAGACCGGTGGCGTGCGCGGAGCATCAGCGGAGCTCCCTCTTGGTGAAGGACAGAGCGCGGAGATGCGTTTTCATGCTGTAGATGGGTGAGTGTGCTCATTTTTTGTCATGACTGCGCTGCCGAACACAAAAAGAGGCAAAGCTTTGCCCCTTCCACATGTTTTGCACTCGGCACACTGCTGCTCCGTACGCGTTCATAGCCAGGCTGATGTCTCAGTGGAGGGATATCCGACTCCTCTCTGGCTGCATCCGTAATCTCACACCGTTTCTCGCCCTTTCAAATTACCCCCCCTCCCTTGTCCGCTTTGCTCGGCGTCTCCCGCCTCCGCTCTTCCATCTTTCTTGCCGTATTGTTTGTTCTTTGTGACACTGACATGTCCGATCACCTGACAAAATATCTAATTTTCAGACATACAGTGCTGCGGTTGTGCAGCGCTTGCCTGTTTGACGATCCAACTTCCTGTCGTGTTTTCTGATCGTCACACCGGCTGATGTCCTTTTTAACATGACTGGATGCCTAAATACAAATTCTATCATTGTGTCCTATTCTCTAGTCAGTGACTAGAGGCGTCTTCACATCCTCACAACTTAGTCTCCCTAACTCGCACTCCCACCTACTTTTTTCCCCGAACAGTGAGAACTTAATTTAACTTTTCTTTCTTTTTCTTTTAAACGCTCACCGTGCTCGCAGCAGAGGTTACCAAACAGGTAAACCTCGGCTGTCCCGGTTTGAGGGCTTCAGCGATTGTATGAATCGCCTGCTTGGCTCCATTTCATACCATTGTCTGCTCGCTGTGATGAACTGCCTGCGCTCGGGTGATTTCTGCTTTGTGTGGAGAGCACCGGCTGCAGCAGCCTTGGCGGACGGGACCGCGTGGAGGGCGGGGGGAGTTGGGGTGGCGGCTGCCAGGATTGGAGGGTCAGCTGATCGGCTCCGAGGTACGGGGGGAATTTATGACCCCCCCAGAACAAAGCTGTGTCTGCTGAGGGACCTATAAACCATAAATCAGGGAGAAGTGGGTCGGATTGGGTCAGTGTTCATCTGCTCTCTCTGCTTTTTTGTTTTTCCACACCTGACACTTTTTCAGTGACCTTTTCCGGTCTTTTCTCCTGGACAGGCAGCGGACCTGTTGTTCTCTCATGTGCCGTTAGACTCCGCGGTTTCTCAGCCGTCAATCACGTTTGCTAATGAATTCCTGATTCCCATTCCAAAATGCCATTACCTTCTTGTAAGTGAATCGCCCCTAATCCTTTCATTATCTCCAGCTATGTTAACACTGTCGGCCTTTAGTCTCCGCTCATCTCAATCATCCTAATTATGGGATGTTTGTCTTTTCAAGGGGCTGATGAGAATGGAATGAAATGTTCTCATTCTGGCAGCGACTTGTTACCGATTGCGCGCGAGGCATTCCAGTCCGTTTGATTCTGATCGCTGGTTTGACTAGTTGTGTGATTCGTCTTCCTCAGGGCAGCTGGAGCCAATGTGAGAAATTGATTTCCTGCAGAAGGATTAGCAGTGGGGTTACAGCTATAGGCATGCATTACATTACAGTGATTCATTCCGCAGCTGCACCGCAAAGTAGGCTAAACAAATTCCTTATTAGCTGTTGTATAAGACTGACACTTTACAAAAACACGCACAGGCGTACCGCAGACCATGCTGTCAAGGTAGTGGGCGACGGGCCTGGGAATAGCAATGAATATCTCGAAGCGGTGTTTTTCCAAGTTCAGACAGCTTGACTAGGGAGATAAATAATCTCAGCCAGGAAGGATGGATTTTAATTTATTTGTGTCTGTATTGCTGCACAAAGAGGCATCGCATGCTGCCGCTGTAAATCAAACAAATGCAAATGCCGGGCTGCGGAATGGAAATGACTGGGACGTCAGAAGTCTCTCGGTGCGACTGCCGTAACAGCGAGGGGATTTGTACTCGTGTTTCACAACAACACTGATAATATTTTCTACCGTTTCGGAGTGAACTGGAATGAAGCACGAGTGTGAAGCACGCTGCGTTAATGTTTCCCCTTTTATGATGCAAATACCTGCCAGGTTTAGTGTTAGCCATGTATGGAATTACATACGGAACGTCAAGACATTTTAATCAGTTTTCCTAAACACCTTTACAGTAATGCTGCACCTAACAGTTATTCTTTCCAATGAGATGATTTATCTAGCGACTTATTAATGATTCCAAATGTGTTGTTATTATAATTCTTGACGAATATAACAATGAATTTTCCCAAAATTAAGTATCCAAAACATTTTATTCAATCGTCTTAAAAACAAACAAAATGTCTCAATTTCGTCAGCGTTGCTGTAACGATAGACCCTATCATTGGCTTGACTTAAAACGTACAAGGTTATATGTAGTTATGATAGTAAAATGCATCTTTGAATCATTGTGGGGAAAGATAAATAACTCTTACAACAGTGGATGCTTTCAGAAGTGCTCGTACACGACAGTCAGCTATTAGGCCTGTGTTTGGTTTAATACGGCAGGCCAGTCTGATTGTAACATTAGTCTGGATGTGGCTCAGGGTTTTACTGGAAGATAGTTGTTTTGCCCATTAAAATGGCTCCCACAGCAGCGTTATTAACTGATTCCGTAGAGCACAGAGCTGCAGCATTTTTACAACCATCTCAACAATGAAGACTAAACGAGGAATAAAAACACAACAGTAAGACGTATGTAATTGGAAATGTATCATTTTTAATATGCACTCGACCGCACATTTGGTTTGTTGCAGTCCGACACTTCTAGGCTTTAATTTTGGCTTCGGAAGGCAGGAGAATGAACTTCCTTAGCTCTTTCACATATCACTCTGTTGGGTTCAAACTTAACATCGTCAAAGTGAAAGAAACTTTCCAGGAGCCAGTAGAAGCAGGTTGTGGCGTTTATTAGATGCTGGAGTTTTTCTAAAATATTTCAATTCAACCCTCCAACTAAATGGAAAAGCATGTCAGGCATCAAATAGGGAAGCAAGAGTTTTGTTTTCCACAAGACATTGTTATATTCTACCTTCAAATGTCGGAGATCTTTTATTCACACATAATCGTCACCAGCACAGCTTTGACAATATGTAATTAAAATCCACATTTAATTGATTCCTCTGAATCATAGAATTCTGCAGAACGCTGCTCTGTACCTTTTGGCAGTTTGTCTCCGGAGAGGCCGCTTGCTTTGAAGTGAAATATTTCATTGTGCTTTGAATTCAACATCAGGCGTGCATCTGTTCTGTGGGTTTAACTCATAAGACATCATCGAGCGTGATCATTTCTCCCCAGACAGCCTTGAACGAGTCGTAAAGTCATATGCAGCGAATTGATGGCCTTATGCTTAGTGGGAAATAAATTCGTACGGGGGGAAAGATTTTAAAATGATGGCATAAAACACGTCGGCGGGGTGTCACTCTTCTTTAAGGATTTGAAGGCATTTTTGGACACATCACAGCCATGCATTTGTAAAAAGGGACATTCTGTATATTCTAAATGAGCAGCTGATGAATTGAAGGTACTTTAATCACAATTAGTGACTGGATCAGATGGGCAGGTCAGATTTTATGTACAGCGCTGGGCTTTAATAACCCACATATGGGAATAGGAAGATGAGAGAAACGGCCATCAAAGCCTCATCTTAGTGCAACGTTCAACAATCAAGCACAGAGATGGTGCCGGGTTTTATTGTAAAGCATGACCTCCCGACACTCAAACATAAGTAGGCAGGAGATACGAGCCAGAAAACGGAGAGGAAAGTGCAGTTACTCCACAGCATTCAACCTTTAGGATGCTGCAGATGTTAACCTGCTGGGTGATTCAGGAATTTTATTAAATTTCATACTTAAATGGAGAGCCGCAGACAGACATTCCAACACTTTAATGATATTAACAAGATTAGTTTTCCAGTGTCCGTATTCATTATAATATTTGACCTGTCATGACAGCTCATTCTGTTTCCTTTCTTCATCACAATTTGCATTTGATTCATTAAAAAAAAAAAGATTATTGTTTGGGTCCCTGAATGAACAACTTCTGTTCTCTCTCAGCTCTAGTCTCCTGCTGCCAAAATGGGCATTGACAGCATCAACATCGGATGGAACCAATCACTAAAAATGTGCTTTTTCTCCTTCAGAAATATAGTATAAATCGATTCATCCCTTTTTTTTGCCAGTGGTGATGTCTTGTGCTAAAAGTTGTTATTGAAAGATGAATGAACACTTGATCAATGCCTTGTAAGTCATTGGTGCAATGATCCCTCACCGGTTTCCCACCCATGAACACAGCAGGAAAAAAAAGTATTTCTGGAGAAAACCAACAGTAAAGAATATCACAATGCAAACACCAACTTAAATATTTAGTACTTGAGAGGAACTGCATACTCAGCAGCTCATTTGCGTTGATGGATCAATCAAAAAACACAATTGAGATATTTTAAGTGTCATCCCTAAAATGATGCATTTTACAGATCTAAGTACGTTTTTTTTAATGCCGGTGTCCTTTCTGTGTTTGGTAGCTGACACACTGCAGTGAGCCTGGACATATGAAGCCCAACTCCCTGCCGGTCTTAATGGGATGCAGCCAGATACATTATTAATGCCAAGGTGAGAATGAAAGAATGCAACACACACACACACACACACACACACACACTTTATCTCTTTCTCAGCACCGTCTTGTCACTGATCCAGTATAAATGCTGCTTTTTGCTGCTGGCAGCCACACTGGGGCTGTCTTGTTTAATAGCACCACAAACCTTAATGTTAAAGGAACGGTTCAACATTTTGAGGAAAAACATTTCCACCGTCTTGCCGAGAGTTAGATTAGGAGATTGATAACACTCTCACGTCTACTGTTTAATTGATGGTTCACCATAATGTGCACTTCCAAACTCCTCCTTTAAGTGGCATTCCATTGTACTTTTCCATGTAGGCATTCCATTGTACCTTTCCATGTAGGAAGTCCAAAATTCTTGAGTTGAGAATTCCGAGTCTGGAAAGCAAGTCGATGCCGAAATTCTGAAAACTTGACCGTACTCATTTTTCTACCGTACAGCAGGTACCATGAATCCGAACTAACGGCATCCAGTTGTTCCGGGGACCATGTCCCCGATAATTCAACATTGTGTAAAACTAAATGTTGGATTGAAATCGGCAGGAGACCTGGTAACGTCAGCGGTAATGGAGCTAACTGCTAATGTACAGAGGTTGCATTCAATGACATTCATGATGCGTTCAAGCTCCACCAGTAAAAATCGGTATTGGGCGAAGATGAATTATAACATCATGGTGTGTTTCAATCTTTGGTGAAAAGCATCATGGAATATCCCTGTTATTGGCACCGACTACTTAACTTGTGGTATTGTGTAATGATTAAAACTAGAAATGATTGCTACATTGCGTTTGTCACATTTGTCACACCCCTGCTATATAAATGTTCGTTTAGTTATTATAAAGACTGGTAACAGGAGGTAAATCGACTTGCTCCCACCTGTAAATCTCACTAATTATCATGTCACATACAAATTGTTTATTCTGTACAAAAAACAACAAACTGTGTTTCCATGAAGGGTCGTGTGCCGGGCTGTTTCTTGGACGGTCACAGTGATTTTCTGGAGTCTCCACTAGTTGCCTGGCAACCTCACTGTGACAAAAAGACAGAGGCAGGCCAGCTGTGTCCTCCTGCTCCTTTTTGCTGAGCTAAGCTTACTGGCTGCTGACTGTGATATTTGTGGAACAGACAAGAGAGTGGCATCAGTCTTCTCATTTAGCTCTCGACAAAGAAGGAAATTAGTGTGTTTTCCACAATATCAATCTATTCGTTACTACCTTCTGTTTACTTTACAGAGATGTAAATCAGTCACCTTCCCGCACCATGTACACTGTTCGGGTGAAATAAGAGTAATGGCCAAGAATTCCCCAAAAAACTCCTGATTCCACAACACATCAAATTTGGCTTTGGTAGCATCTAGCAGTGAGGTTGCAGGGTGCAACCAACATGATGTCTGACATGAAGATTTGAATGGCCCTATCCAGAGCCAGTGTTTGGTTCTTCTGTTCTGGGCCGATGTAGAAACATTGCGGTGCAACCAGGCGGCAACCTCTAGTTCTGAACAGTGAAGCTGACGTGTCTTAAACTTGCATTCTCTCTAGTGGCCATCAGGGGGCGACTCTTCTAGTGGCAAGAAGAAGTCTCTATGTCTATGAGAAAATGACTCTACTTCTCTCTTGATTTATTACCTCAGTAAACATGGTCTCAATCTCTAGTTTCTCTACATCAGGACTCTGCAGTCTAAATTTGGTCCGTTCGCTGGTTGCAAAAAGCCAAGATGGCGACAGCCAAAACGCCAAACTCAAGGCTTTCAAACAGCGGCCCACAAACCAATGGGTGACGTCATGGTGACCACATCCACTTCTTATATTCAGTGTATGGGTGCAACATAGCGGACCCGCTCCCTATGTAGATATAAACAGCTCATTTTAAGGTCATGCAAACATAAAGTTTCAGGTGATAATAAACTAAAGAAAACTTGCTAATTCATTTTATATTCCATTTTTGCCAGTAAATCCCCCTAATTGCTACACATTGGCTCCATAAACCACAATTCTGGTTGTATTCAGTTCAGCCACAGAGACAAAGTAAAGCCCCAAAGTGAAAGCTAAAAGAGATTAAATGCCCATTCCACACAATAATATCCACACGCAAATGCTCTGTCTTTTTTTCCAACCAGGGATTTTAAACTGAATTTGCTTCTGAATAAGATATCATCGAGCCTCACTAGTCTGTATATTTACATTAAAAAAAGTCATGAACACGCAATTGAAGTGGGAGCTTATTTGGGTGGGAATGTGTCAACACATTTGGAATCCACTGAAGAAATCATCAGTTTTAATATTATATTCAAATATGAGAGCTCCCAAAAGTGTTTCACATCAAGCTGAAGCAGCAAAGCGGGCCTCCGCTAATAGGATAGAACACAGCAGCAAACGAGCCAAACCAGAAAGTGTGTGATCAACATTAGAAATGCAAAAAGTATGAAAATAACTCGAATCCTGCTAGAATACCTGCAGCTCTGAGGACGTTTCAACTTTTCGTCTCTCGTTGGTAAAGTTTGAATGTCATCTTCTGACGTCTAAACTTAATGTAAGTCAAAATCTCCTTTTACTTTTCCACAGAGTTATTTGAACTAAGTGATGTTACTGGCCAGGAGGCTGTGCAGTGTGCCAGCATCCGACGGTAATGAGCAGAGAACGTGGGCTTTCTTAATGTAACCGAAATTAGCATTTGCTCGCTGCAGAACTTAAGGCAAATTATACCTCTTCGCTTGCCAAATCCTAGTCTGGTGCTGAAAGAAATACTTACTCTTTTCTTGAGTAATGGTGGTGTTTGACACTGGTAAAGTGACACGTTAGCTATTCAGAAGCCAGAGCAATACATTTATAACAAAAAGCTTTTCTTTCTCTATTGATCCGCAGTTTATCCTCCTCTGTTTGAGTCCCAGTGTTGAATGCCACTGAACCTGGTTAGTCTCTCTCTCTCTCTCTCTCTCTCTCTCTCTCTCTCTCTCTC